TCTCGTACGGCAAGGATCACTTCAGTTCCCCTTATAAGACATATTTGATCTTCCATGAAGCGCCAATTTGGCTCAACTGTCCCCCATACGACGTACACACAGACATGCATAGAGAAACTGAGAATGACCCATCAACGATAACAGTCAAATTGATCTAGCGCTTATAACTTCGCATATATTTAAATAAAATAATAGTGAAATATGAAAGCATAGTTTACCAAAGAAAATTCAATTAATGGAAAAATTCATGAAAGAAAATAAGAGAGAGTAAAACGTTGAGTAGTATCTCACCTTGACTTCGACATATTTCTCAATTTCTTCGCGTATCGCCTTTGCTGCTTGATCGTAGCGCTCTAACCGAAGATTCAAACGAGTAATTTGACTCAAAAACTCTCCAGCCATTTTCGATCGATCAGACTGCTGCACAAGGGCGAGCCCTTTCTCATACAACTGTAAGTAGCGCTTTTGACGAGATGACAATAGCTGTTGCCTTCATATTACTATACTCACGTACCTTTATCGCTTGCTCGGGTTCTCCTTGTACTATCACTTTTGCAGCTTTATCCACAGTCATTGCCGCTGTATCCAAACTACCTGACTCAGCATATTGATCAATAGCTTTTTCAAATAGAGGATAAGCTGCTGCTGTATCACCAGCATCTCTGAGAAGCATAGCTGCGCCCTCACGAGCTCTAAAATAGGCGTCAGTCAGAAGCTAGATTGACACACCTTCAAGCTTCCATTTAGCATCGAATGATCTCTATGAGATATCGTCAAAGTGACAACAAAGCTCTCCTTATGTATATTTCCTTACAGACTAGAACAGTAGCACTGATATGGTCATTTTGCCACAAACCTAGTGACTAATATTGAAGGCGAAACTATCTTGTCAGGAGAACGCTCAAAAAAAAAAAACGGATGCCATGTCTAAGCTAACAAGATACAGACTACGAACTAACTAAAAAACCTAAGATATAAAATCACTCACTTTGCAGCATGAAAAATGTTTCCAATTTGTTCATAATGTCCTGCAGCATCTACCAGTGACTTTGCAGCTTTCTTCGGATCTCCTGCGTTTCTGTAGCAGACTGATGCTCGTTCCAACGCTGTGGCTGCCCCATCATAATCCGGTTTCAATTTCAGTTTGAGCAGAGATGTCTTCAAACTGAATTCTCTATTATAGATTTTTATTGTGCGTAGGTCAGCAACTGATTCACCATATTAGCGTTCTACTGTTACTACTGTTGACTGCATAAAGATTAGACCAATCGTAAAATCGGTTGTTTAGTCTTGGACGCGAAAAACACTTAAATTAAAAACCAGAAAAGTTACTTTTTCTGATTTATAAGGAAACGCATCCCAGAAATTCTTTGAAGTCAGGAAATTTGTAAAATTTTGCAGGTGTTCACATCATTAGATCCTTGTAATTTCCGTACTTTTCACAGCAAAGGGGGGATTTTTAATCACAATCCCACTCTTTCGTATAACACATTAAAAGATTTATAAAGGGCCGTATACAAATTTCCGGTGAGCTTTGTACAGTTCCGCCTTCAATACACTTCCACAAAAGATAGTTCGCAGCCATAGTGACTGTTCATTGTCTCAGCATTCGCAAAAAAACGTTATAATATTCGCTAGATAAATACCGATAATCGTTTTGCGCAGCGCACTTTGCAAAAACATCTCATTTACATCGTTTCAATTGATAATTCATGATTTGTTAAATTAGACTTTGCAGTGTTATGATAAAATTTGAGAAACCCCCAAAGATTTCGTTTTTCGAATAGCCTATACTAGCAAAACGACAATTGAGCGTTTTCACTCTCTGAGACTCTCAGTTACGATGAGCAGAGTCTATGGAGGAAAAAAGTGGGATTTGGGATTTCAACAACTTTTCCTCATTCCTGATTGAGCAATCGCCCATTTTTGAGGGCACTATTCGACTGACCACAACAACTCACCAATCCGCAGCTTTCCGCTCACACTCCGCGGCTTCGCTGAGCCGTGCTGAGTTCGACATCTGCTGCGACCAACAATATCTGCAATCAGCACCATGTTCATACTTTCTTTTTTTGCCAATCGACACATAACTGGTTCGCGTCGTTATGGTGTCGTAGAAAATATACGCCTCATAAAAAAGTTG